TAGAAAGCTAGGAATCCCCTCTTTCCAACAGTGTATACAACTCAAAATGTGTCTTCGGGTCAATGCGACTGATTTCAATCGAGCAGGTCACATATGAGGTACACATTATTACGATGATTACAATAATTTAAGTGTCGCCTACCCAAAGTATATTGTATTATCTTTCTTGTTTCCGTGCTGCCTTATATTTTTTAAGTCCAAAAATGTATTGAAGAAAATAGATGAACTCAATTTCTAAATTCACAGCATATCTTCACCTAACAAAATAGTCTATCAATATTCGTTGGAGTTTACTCGTTCACAAACTTGTCAGATATGATGACAGACATTCATACTCCATTCCTAACCCTCTAAAGAGGCCTTGAATGCAAAAAAAGGACATTCTCTAAATGGAATATAGACCACTCAAGCCAATTTACAACACAAGCCAGCATTCATCCATTCATGCATGTGGCTACGATACTACATGCTCCTCAGGAACGTACACCTACACTCACACACACACTAACCTCTCTCCCCGTGTGTGTGTGTGTGTGTGTGTGTGTGTGTGTGTGTGTGTGTGTGTGTGTGTGTGTGTGTGTGTGTGTGTGTGTGCCTGTGTTTGAGAGAGAGGGAGAGTTGTGTGTGTGTGTGTGTGTGTGTGTGTGTGTGTGTGTGTGTGTGTGTGTGTGTGTGTGTGTGTGTGTGTGTGTGTGTGTGTGTGTGTGTGTGTGTGTGTCAGGTGTGTAACAGTAACAGGAACTGTCACTGTGACGACGGCTGGGCTGCACCTTTCTGTGAGCTCAAAGGTTATGGAGGCAGCACTGACAGCGGACCCACCTGGAATGGTAACTTCATGTTGAAGCTTATTGTTAGAGCCAGTCTTTTGTTTTGTAATAAAGGCCTAATATTGTCACCTAATCGTGACCTCTGTAGTCAAGAAAGTATAAAAGACTACAATTCAAAAGAGACACAGAGATGGGCATCCTGTATGAAAGACGCCGCCTAGACAAAGGTTTTAACCGTAAGATATCGTTACTTTATATTATTATATACCTACACAAAGAAAGAAAGATGATCTTAGTTTTTTATTATTTTATTTGAGTTTTGCCTCTTTTGATTAGATTTTTTTGCCTATTTTAAAGGACGATTTTCTTTGTTGAATGTGTGTGAAAAGTTTATAATTTTAATTAAACACAAGTCGCACAATATCAACACACCATCGGAAGGCAAACTAGTCATCACAACTTTAGATAAAAAGAAATAAAGGAAAGATGACTGTCTGTTTAAGGCGTTTAAGTGGCTTGATAGAAACAAAGGAAGGAAGCAGCGACACTTACTAATGAAACCTATAACATTTTCAAATGATGATGAAATTATACCATACAAAGACCTACAATAAGACGAGACGTACAGAAAATCCCAACACAAACACGTGAGCAACAACAAATATCTGTTCATTTTTACATCAGGCTAAAAGAAGCAGACACTCACCTTTTATACTTCAATAGATGGGGTGGTATTGCTCAGTCTGTAGGGACTTGGCCTTGGAGCCGAGGTGCCAGTTTACCTCCTGGTCACTGCCCAATTGGAGGTTGAATTCAAGCTACCTCTTAAGAGTTTGTATGTTTTGAACATTTTGGCTGATACTAGCCACTGATCCATCACTGGTTTAATCCCAGTACGGAGTAATGTGGATTTAGAGTTATATTTATCCCAAATATTATCTCAATCTCATTTTGGACTGAGAGCCAAATATTTACAATTTTAGGACACAACCATCTAAGATGGCTATATGTACCACAGCTATTTATATAGTTCAGACATATTGGAGGACACATAGGGTCATAATAACATTAAAGACTTTGGTCAAAGCTGGGAAAACTCTTGTAAATGGTAAATGGCAGCATCGACACATTCATACAGAGGCAGAGGCTGCCATACAAGGTGCTACCTGCTCTTCAAGAGAAATCATCATTCACAACCAGGCTTGGATTTTCGTTATTTTAGGCACAAGGCCATTTGGCCTTTGGTGTCACACGTTTTTTCAGGGCGGAAAGGCCACATGCCAGGGCACAAAGGCCATTGAGGGAAACGTTAGGATTTGGAGCTTACAAATAAATAACTTAACTTTCTGATAAGAAAAACACACGAATTACATGGAAAACAAATCACTTTCTTAATATCAATAATGTCAAACATTATATCATCATATAGGCCTATGCCTCCTTAGTATTACCGCATATAAAATGAAATACTTTACTTTGAATAATTAGTGTTTGGTATGTTTTCCATCTATTACTTCTCCCATTCCATTTCAGAGCAGAAGAAACAGCCTTCAAGGGTCAAACTCTGCACATCATTCAGCAGTGTGTGTGTGTGTGTGTGTGTGTGTGTGTGTGTGTGTGTGTGTGTGTGTGTGTGTGTGTGTGTGTGTGTGTGTGTGTGTGTGTGTGCACACGAGAGTCTCTTTAACCAGCTCCTCATATCTGTTCAGAAACTGGACAAAAGTTAAACATGTACAAACCACAGACTGTCTGTGTCATGGCGAATACAGTCGCTGCTTTAATTCTGTCTGTAGGATTCAGTATCTTGCCCAAAGCCATGTTGACTACAAAGCCCGGGAAAATGAAACACCAACCCTTGGGTTGATTGACGAAAGATCTACCTCCTAAACCTAACCCTAATAGGATTTGTTAGAACATGTCATTTTCTTTGATGATAGAATAAATGTTAAGAGACTTTTGGACATCAATATTACTTAGAGAGGACATGTTCTGCTCCTGTTCAGGTGTATATCAGTATGTAATGTCTCTCCTGGGACATGTCTCCATGCTTTAATGTTCAAAAAGCTCTTTATTTTTCTCATACTGCCTGTGCTGCAGCACCTCTTTTCACCCTCTGTCTGAAACCAGAGCGAGCCCAGTCTGCTCTGATTGGTTAGCTGTCCGGCTCTGTTGTGATTGGTCAACTGTTTAGAGATATCCCACCCCTTAGCCTATCAAATACAATGGGTTGGAGAGCTAGCCGATAGAAGCGCAAGTGTTACATTTTGATATTCCTATGTTACAGAAGTAAACAAAGGAGTCCAATGGAGGTGTTTCAGGCAGGGGGGGGTGTGTACGAGAGAAACTCCCTCTGGAGGGAACTTTGGGATTGTAGTCCTTGCAGACCATTTACATGCACAAAAACCTATAAAACACACTAGACTGACTAGAGGGAAGGGAAAACACAAAATAGGGCCCCTTTAACTTCTAAACCTATCCGTCTGACTCGCTCTGTCCTCCTCAAGGTTGTTATAACCTGTGTCTGTGATTGCTCCTCAGATAAAGACACGTCAGTCAGAGACGGCCTGCTGGTCTTCTTCTTCCTCGTCCTTCCTCTCCTCGCTCTGGGTGCTTTTGTTTTCCTGCGCAGGAACGAGCTGCTGCGACGATTCGGGCTGAGCCGCAGGAAGAGGTCGCAGGGATACAAGTGAGTCTGAACAACCACACACACACACACGCACACACACGTATATCACAATGTTGATATGTTATGATAAATGGTGTTTGATTCTGGAATGGAGAGTCTGGATGATGATCAGATATCAGAATATCACAAATAATGCTTCTCTACAGAGCGAAGCAGGGTTGTATGCAGGGTTATGGTGTCAGTATCCTGATTAAAGACAAGAAAAAATAAACACGCTGAAATTTGGCAGATATTTTGTATATAAGCAGAAAGGACTTGAGTCATAGCATATTAGTGCTACTGAATTTCAACTAGAAGCAGCAGTACCCGCCGCCACTGTTTAATTACACACTATGGATAAATAGGAACATCCTTCTCAGCAGGTGTGATTTTGTTCTGACAGGAAGTCTTACTTCAATTGTCCAGTATTGAGTCTTTGACACTGTTGACCACAACATATTGCTAGACTGTCTAGAAAACTGGGTGGGAGTTTCAGCAACAGCTCTAAATTGGTTTAGTTCCTACAAGTGCACTGAGCAAGTGCATTGAGCACATCAATGACTGGATGACTCAGAACTTTCTCAAATTTAACAAACAAAAAACTGAGATCATTGTTTTTGGAGCAAAGAAGGACCGATTACAAGTAATCGCAGAGCTCCAGTCGGCAGACTNTGTGTGTGTGTGTGTGTGTGTGTGTGTGTGTGTGTGTGTGTGTGTGTGTGTGTGTGTGTGTGTGTGTGTGTGTGTGTGTGTGTGTGTGTGTGTTGAGGAAGTGCAGGAGAAGTTTCCAGTGCGTGCCTCAGAAGTGCGTGCGGCTGCTGGTGGCGCATTGGCCGGCAGTGAACGGAGGGAGGAGGGAGATCACACATTGACTCTTTGCTTTCCGCGAGGACTCTCCTCCAGTTGGAAGAAGCAGGGAAGACAGAGGGACGCACTCAGATCTGGAGCTACAAATAAAACCCAGAGGAAAACACACTTAATTTCGTTCTTTTTCGGTTTGGGTACCCGGTGTTTTCCAGTGGATTTTACGCAGCGCTAGAGAGTGGAGGCACGGCTGCAGAGATGAGCGATGCGCGGTGAAGGACCCCCTCTCCTGATACAGGGACCAAACCAGGCTGATATTTTCCCAAAGAAGATTGCAAAGGTGGAGCGATTAGAGAAGGGCTGATGACGGGACTATTAATCCTTTCAGTGCATCAAAAGCACCAACGGGAATTAGAAACGCTTGGATGGAAATCGGGCGAGTGTTTAGAACTGTTTTTGGTTTTATATGAAACTGGTGATTAGTTCATCTGCGAGGACCTTTCTTATTTCCCCTTAAAGATTTTAATAAGGAGTACATTTCCCCCCCGGAAGGTTGCATGGTATGAGCGGTTTCCCGGAGTGAATTTTCAGAAACTCTCAACTCAATCTCTTATTTCTCTCTTCAAGTATTCCTAAATCTAAATGGAATTAGTTGAGTCTGAAGCCGCTTGTGAAAGGAACAGACATGGTACATGGGCACAGCTTCCATCACGGTAAGACTGCAGCAGATCAACAAGCAGTGCTCAATTAAGATCTGATTGCTTGTACCCTAACGAGAGAGAAGTAATCTTTTCATTAAATACAGAGCAACAGCTTAAAGTCAGAATAAGAGCATGCTGATGAAAGTAATATCATGACGGCATGTACTGACTCACTGCAACCTGTAAACTGAAGGTCACCAAGTTCTTGGAGGGCTTCAGGAAACATTATTTTGGGAGGAAATGATGTTCAATAAGCTGTGGTGATTGCATGTGTTTATAGTCAACATTCATCTCACAGAATCGATGTTATACTGGTATTTATTCATTTTGTAGTACTTTGGGTTATTTTAGCTATATTAAAAGTCTTTTTAATTACATTTCTGTTGTTACTTCTCTCATTTTTTATGTCTTTGTATTGATTTATTTTTATTTTGAATTATATTTGTATTATTCCAATATTTTTTTGTGTCATTTTTAGGTACTTCTTTAGTTATGTTTTTATATAAAAACGAATTAAAAGGGTTATATCCTGATTCCTTTCAAAGGAGTCCTTCTGTTTATTTGTTTTTACACTAAAGGCCTAGGTTATTTCATGTACTATGTGGATTCTTTCAGCCATTTTGTACACAACCGATCATTGGCTGTTATGGCTATTGTTAGGTATTGTGTGCTTTTTGGGGCAGAAGGTCGAGCATACTGCTGATCATGAAATATGTTCCCTGCTGACTCAACCCTACCTTTAGCTGAACTCAAGCACAACAAATGTTAACAAACTGTGGAAAATAACACAGAAAAACAGCATGCCTCAGTCGTCCATCATAATGTATTTGTCTTTCTCTTCTTACAGTTGTTGCAAGTCTTCTCATACTTGGGTTGTCTGGGGCAACAAGGAAGGATACAGCAGGTAGTCCACATCCCAACACGTCTTTCTTTACTGCTTAAACATGCTCTTTCCACGGCTTTAATCTCTCACTTTCTGCTTTTCTGTTTGCTGAATAGCGAAGAACAACTCGGGCGTGAAGCCTGCAGGTCAATGTGGAACGTGGGTGAAGGAAGCAGAAGGAGGGATCTTCACTTCTCCCAATTACCCAAACAAATACCCTCCGACCACAGAGTGTGTTTACATCCTCGAAGGTAAATACATTTGTTCCCTAAAACCAAACCCACAGTAACTTCTTAGAGAGCGATCAAACAGCTCATTAAACCAGCTGGTGTTTTTTAACGTTATGAGATATTATCAGATAATCACAAAATGTAGAGGCTAATCACTTTCACAGCTTGGTGTTTGGGAGATGAATTGACAAACAGCCGGGGTTGGAGGTATTGAGCGGGAGGGCGTGCTGATAATGAAACAAGTTGAGCGTTCATCAATGAAAGCATGACTAATATCGCCCCCCCCTGCTGTGCCGGGTGCTAATTATTTTCATTGTGTCTTCCAGCACCCCCAAGGCAGTGTATTGATCTACACTTTGAGGAGAATTATTCAATCGAGTCCTCTTGGGAATGTAAATTTGACAACATCGAGGTTCGGGATGGACCCTTTGCCTTCTCTCCGATTCTGGGACGGTACTGCGGCCAGCACAGCCCGCCTGATATCAGGAGTAGCGGCCGATATCTGTGGATAAAATTTGTAACGGACGGTGAACTGGAAGCCGTGGGATTTTCAGCAAGTTACAACTTCACTGCAGGTACTTCAGCTTTTTATTCTCACTGCTCTTGTCAGTTCACTCCTCTCTTTGTGATGCTTTATGGCTCTAGCAGCGGATGAATAACAAACATCATCCGGGGAAGTCGCCCTTGTGGGAGCTTCTTGCAGGTTTATTGATTGTCTGTCTGCACACACTCACTGTTTCCATTGGCTATATACTGTCATTGGCTGGGACACTCTTGTAACTACGCTGCGATTTCCTCTCTCTTTATCTGGAGTGGTCTCTGATTTTAATTCAGTTCAGCACTTTCCAGGACAGGAAGTAGTTGAGAGGGCGAAGGAAACTAATCGGTATTGTCGAACACAATCTTGGCAATTAGGGTTGTGTGTGAAACCTTGGCTTTCTTAATTTGCCTCATCTATGGTTGAGATCCCATTACTGAAGCAAGCGAGAGGATTGATGACAAGGAATCAGGGCATAACCACAATTTAATATTCCTTCACCTACACTCGACTGGGTTTAATAACACTGTCAACTTTCTTCGTGTGTTTGAGCTTTGAGAGGCAGCGTGCCAGGAAGCAGGAACGCTATGCCGATTTGTCTTCACATCCACTGCACCTTCAGGGGGATTTTACCGTGAGTTTATAGGATGAACACTTGTGCAGTACATCAAACTTTCATCCCAAAAAACATGCTACTAGCTGCAGGCAATGTGAAAGAGGTAAAGAGGGATATAGATTTATCTTTCAAGGCTTTGTGTGTGTGTGTGTGTGTGTGTGTGTGTGTGTGTGTGTGTGTGTGTGTGTGTGTGTGTGTGTGTGTGTGTGTGTGTGCACTATCAAGAAATCTGAAAGTTGAAGCTCCTTATGGGAAATTACAGAGAAGAAGTGCAGTCAATGGGAATGAAATCTAGTGAGGAATAAAGTGAAGGTCCGTGCGTAGTTAGGCAGACGTGCAGCTACTGTTCTGACATTTGCAAGCAGAAGTTAAATTGCTTCTGTGAAACTACACCCAAGTAAAACTGCTCGATGCATTCAGCGTAAAAGCTACAGGCTGTTTCACTGTCAGATACAATATTTCTCATGCAATTCACAAAGTGGTTGGTGAGAACATTTCAAGAGGAGTGTAAGGCATGGTTATGTTCTCAGTTAAAGTCTGAGATTGCTGTCTGCTGAGGCATGAATCTCCTGCAGCTGCATATACACACAGCGCTATCAACTTTGATTTGAAGTGTATATATTGACAGTACATGCATAAGCTCTTCAGCAGCAAGGCTTGTTGTGTAGCCAAACCAGAGAATATCATTGGATGGATGGCGTTTTAGCTCATGCTAAGTATGCTAACATTTAAGAAACAGTTTGGATATTTTGTCTCAGCACCAAGCACTGGGCTAATTGTGCTAATTGCATCTTCCTATTGATTATTCAATTGAACTGCCTCTAGAAGTAGCCTACATCATGTATTAACCAACATTTAAGCTCACTAAATAACACTAGTTCCTATTTATGTAGTTGCGTTAAAACGTTCATATTGCTCAGCGGCTAAGCTAACCAGCTGCAGCCTCATATATACAGACAGTTGTATTCATCTTTTCATCATGGCAAGAAAGCAAATTTGCATATTTCCTGAAGATGTGGAACTACTCATGCTTTTCCATCTACATGCTTGTCTGAGTGTTTTTTCTCGTTGTACTAAAAGATAATCTGCAAAATGATCTTCTCTAATGGAATCAACCAAAAATGAAGTATAGTATATAAATGCAAGGAAACCCCATACAAAGAACTACTCCAGAAGACACACAGGAAAGACGATTTGTCATTTCCAGGCCTCGATAGTCAGAGATGAAGCACCCGGACCACATTCTGTGTAACATGCAGTTGAAGTATTGTTCCTCCCGCCTGCTTCTCTCGAGAAGCTCATTGAAAATGTGCTGAGAGGAAAGAAAAAAGCCCTGCCTCTCGCCTCGATAGGAAATATCTGTGGCATATGATTTACATAATTAAAGAAGATAAAAGTCCTTGATACTCCGATATGTGTATATATGAATAGTGTCTCACAGCTGCTCTGCTAACCATGTTAATACAGCCCTGATGAATGGGAGAGGAGAGAAAGGGGGGGTGAAATGAATCAGCTTGTCTTTCCTCAGCGACTCGAGGAGCGGAGACATAAAAACTGGATGCCTCCTTTACATTCTGCGCGCGTCCTCTCAGAGACTCGTGCTCCTGATGACTAATGCGCTCGGTACAGTACAGCAGTGACTGGAATCTCACAATATCCATATTAAATGTTGAGGCACCTCAGTGTAGCTCTTCAAGTCTGCAGCTGCTTTGTGTTGAATGTATGTCAAAGGAAGTAGGAGCTGTAACACACTCACTCACTCACTCACTTACTTAGTCCTAGGGATCTGATGTATCTGTCAAACAGATCACACCCATGACTCCTGCTTGCGTCACACCACAGCTTTTTTGCCTCTGCAAAATGCATCAATGTTGGTCTTTTCAATATATTTCTGTAAATCATCTGTTCAACTATCTACTATTGAATTATTCAGGTACAACGAAATGCTTGCAGTGATGAGACTGCCTAGCATCTGTGTGAGGATTTATGAAGCTATAGGCTCCATCTGACAGGATGTGTGTGTAACTCACTTTTTAGGACTTGAAACCAAATAGTTTAGTTGTAACTAATCTGGAAAATGTAATTCCATGTTTAGGCCATTATGAAAGTTGGCTTCTAAGTGCAGCTGTTTTCGTGTTTATTTATGCGATCTGTATCCGGATATTTGTGAAGGAAAAACACATTTGAATGAACACAAAGCGATCAGATCAGCCAGTCTGCATCTTGGGCTGAGGGTTAGGATCAGGTCAAGTGTAAAGGCAACTCGTTAAAGAAGAAAATCTGTTGTCAAGTTACACAACTCCTCGTCTTGCTAACTCAAGCAAGCCTCGCAGTATTAGCATAAGATAGCAAGCTTTCCTCTGCACTTGTGCACTGAATAGTTTCCCTTGTCACTGGTACGTGCCATGCTTACTGACAAGTCTGTGGATTGGATTTCAATATCCAGATACAAATCACGTGATAACACCAGGTGTAAATGCAGCTTTAGATAAAACCACTCACAGTCAATAAGAGCATTCAAAAAAGTGTCTAAGTGCATAATATTACACTATTAGCAAACCTCGCGAAAATGCCAAGATGCAGAATACTTACCTTAATAACAAACGTTCCTAATGCCTCCTTCAAGCGTCATGCAGAGCATACTTTACGTGGATAGTAGGAGTCATCATGCACTGCTATTCAATCAAGAATAACATGCAGTTGAATTGATTAGGGAAGGAAAGCCTGGGAGAGATCTGGAAATCTCAGGCCGAAGCTGTGTTTGAATTTGCAAAGTAACTGTTTGTCATTATTCTGTCCAAATATATTCTTCCTGGAACAATAATTCAGCTTAGAGGCAGCTTTAAAGTGAGCGTGTGGTATTGGGCTAATGTCTAAAGTCAGTTTGGTTTTACAAAAAGGACCAAAGCTTATCAGCTGTCTGTCACAAAGTGCTGCAGGGATGAGCTTTTTATTTAACCTCGCTGCCCTGGTTCCCTCCACAAAAAGCAAATTGGATTCCTTTCCATTGGATTTTGGATTTCTTTCCAAAAATAAGATTTGTAGCAAACAAAAGCTTTTGATTGTTTTGTTCAGCAAGCGCCATTTTTATGATTTTTGAAAAACAATCGGCAGAAATAAAAAGCCCTCGTTACCGTAAGAACCAGCTTCATCACATTGGTAGGATTTTCGATCGCAGCTTAGCTAAAGATGGACGAATGTTTGGCATAATGACATTTAATAATCTAATGTAGGCACTTTTATTGATGCATGAATGCTTTAAATCAGTGTTTCTCAAACTTTTTCATACCAAGGACCACTTAACTAATAAAAAAACACTCGCGGACCACCTAACCCCACAAATATCCCAAATCACATAGTTTTTCTAGAACATATTACAAATCGCCTACAAATTTTACAAACAAGTGGCAACATGTGTGACGAAGGTGTTGCGCTGGGCTATATCATGCAATCGAAAGTGAAAGTTAAGCTCTCTCCATTGCGGAGATATTCCCGCGAGAGTGCGGAAAACTTAAATTTATTTATTTATTTCAAATGTGACATTTTACCAATATACTCACGGACTACTAGGGGGCTCTCACGCACCAGTGGCCCGCGGACCATACTTTGAGAAGCACTGCTTTAAATGTACAGGTTTGTATTTAATTACATACTTTAAGTTGTACAACCATAGGTACAAACCTCTTATGCTTACACACCTTATTTCTGGGATCTGATTAGGTTGGGGGAATCGTCAAATATCTGGAACAAACTCCCAGAAACCTGCAGGTCCGCTGCAACTCTGACTACTTTTAAATCCAGGATGAAGACTTTTCTTTTTGCCGCTACTGTTAATTGAGCTATTCACATCTCACACTGCATTGTAACTTTTATTCATGTACTATGTACGTGTTTCATTCTTGCACAAATACATCGAGTAAAGCCTGAACAGTAACAAACCTCGAAGCACATGTGAAGTTGCCTCCTGCAGAATCACATCATCTCCGGAAAGCCAAGGTGTTGCATTGTGACAGGCATCCTTTCAGACCTTATAGCAACTCAAAGTGGTGTGTGCAGCAGGGAAAAGAGAGTAGGAAGCATGGTGTGTGTGTACTTCTGTTCTGTGTGTGCAATCTGAGCAGGATTCAGCTTTTCAGTTCGTCCTGTAGGGCGCCCTGACCTTAAACCCTGTGGATTTGTAGATTAAGTGATGTTTCAGCACCTGAAGCCAGGGCACAGCTACTAAAAGCTGAGACCCAGTGGTGAGGCAGATGCTCTATAGATGCTCCGGCAGTATATCCTCGACCCAAGGACAAGTGATATACTGTTCCTTTACCGAAAATCTTCTGGGGGACATGAAAAATCCATAAGCAGAATACTCATGTGGACCATTTCAGCTGCGTGTTAGATGTGATGTATTTCTTGCGATAGTGAAGACATTTTAAAGATGCCAGTGTTGTTTCAGGAAAGATTTTAATTGGATTTGTGCAGTTTTTAGTATATAATGTATTTTTTAAATGTATTTTGTTACCATATTAGAAGCTGGTGTCAGGTATGGACTGTGGACCATTTCTTGGACTTTTTACTCAGACATTTATCACTGAAATCTGAAAATATTAGGTAGGTAGGTAGGTAGGTAGGTAGGTAGGTAGGTAGGTAGGTAGGTAGGTAGGTAGGTAGGTAGGCGGACGGACGGATAGATTAGAGTCCAAAATATTTCTGAATTAGCATTAAAAATGCTGCTGTGTTGTGCCAAACACAACTCATATAGTGGATAAAAGTTTTTGGAGTGAAATAGAAACTGGTCATCATGCCATTCAGCCTCACATGTGACCCCATAGTGCTCCCACTGTGTGTTTATAATGAATCCAGGCCATGACTAATGTATCGAGATGACAGTGATTGATCACGCCCCCACCGAGCTGTAACTGGACTGAGAATCATTTTGCAATGAAATGAGTCAAATGGCATTTAAGATTATAGCTGGAATAGGAGATATGGGCCAATCATAAAGGAGACAGGGCCATGACATCGAACCTAGATGGGCTCAAACTGGAAAATTGGAAATTGAAGCGTAGAGATCGACTCCTGGCTCTGAGGAGGAAGTGAATCTGGCAGAAAGTTCACAGACTTCCCGGATTTATTCTGCCCCCAAAGCCATTTGCTAGTGGCAACACCCGACATTTAAACATTGGAGAAGCTTTTTTATTCAATTGCATCCAATGAAATCCCTGTATATAGTTTCCAAAGTCACTGACCTTCACCAGTTTGGCTGGTTACATTGATTGTTATAATTTACTGTATTTTTAGACACAATTTAACATACCCCAACCTCTGAATATGATTGAAATAGCTTTTGGGAATTTGGCCAAAATAAAGACTGCAGTGTGAAAAACTGCCAAGGTGATTCAAAGATTCAAGATTCAAAGGTTTTATTGCCATATTATTATTATTTGATCTGACAAATAAAGTAATATCGTATCGTATCGTATATGCACAAAGATACAGTGTAGAAATGGCCGTGAAAATCTTCTGACCTGAGCTCCTCCAACAATCCAACATCAAAATAAAAAAAAAATAGAAAAAAAAAATAAAAAGCATAATATTAGATCTGGGGCTCTTATTTTGAAATATAACCCAGAGCAATAAAATAAGTCGAACAAACACACACTAATATTTCACAGATTTTTTTTCAAACTTAATTTTTTATTGAGTTAAGTTTGTACATAATGGAGAGACAAAACAGAAAAATCACATTGTACTTATGGCTTTACATCAAACTGAAATTCAACAGTCATGGTTACAATTGGTACACAGATATATTAATTAGTCTCCTGAAAAGCATATGCATATGCCCTAGCCTTTTTCCACAGTGTCATAAACGATCAATTTCTTCCATTTACTCTCAAAAATATTGACTCTCATTCTAAGTTGGTAAGTAATTTGTTCCATTATATATACCTCTCTTATAATACCCATCCACTGGTCTTTTGTGGGGGGCTCAGCCTTACACCAATTTCTGGTTATTGCTTTCTTCCTTGTTATTAACAGTATCTTAGTTATATATCTATCAGTAATTAGGAGACTTTTTTTGAGACACAACTCGAGGCCTACATTTGTCAAATCTTTCATTACCTATTGGGAAACAATTATATTATTTTCTCAATTAGCGCACGCCTATAGACATTTTTTAAATGCAAGATTGTGTGCATATATGTTTTCAAAATTATCCATGTATATGAGTGAAAACAGGACCTTAGGTGTCCATAGTTACCACAGTGTAAATAGAAAAGATTTGTTCTGTTATTTTTATTTTTTCATTATTTGATGTTAGTTAAATCAGTTCATGAAGTAAATGCTGGCATAAAAACATGCATATCCTGTAAAACTGTAGAGTAAGTAGTCAATTCATAGATTACTACCTGCTGTTCTCTCTAATCTTTCTCCAATACACTGCCTCCCTAAATCAAATCATCCATCAGTGACCCCTCGGCCCGTTTGAATTTCTTAACAGCTGCTTTCTGTTTGTTGTCTGTTTTGATCAGAACTCAGATCTTTGACTTAAGTCAAACTAACAATACTATATTGTAAATATACTCTGTAGCATTAAGAGTCCTCCTTTCAGAATCAGAATACCTTTAATCGTCCCACAGAGGGCAAATGTATACTGTAACAGCAAAAGTGAAGAAAATAAAACACTATTTGAAAGGGCATGCCCATAATGTTTACACTTACCAAAAAAAAGTATTACATTTACAAGTGACCTCATAAGTTTGCAATTTACATATGGCACAGCAGTGGTGTCGTAGTCTATGTTTGTTTTTACATCATTGCACATAGTCTCTATTGTTGTGTGTGTGTGGGGGTCTACCAGGGGCCACGGTGGTTTTAAAATCTTACGTGTGTGTGTGTGTGTGTGTGTGTGTGTGGTGTGTGTGTGTGTGTGTGTGTGTGTGTGTGTGTGTGTGTTATAACAACTAACTCCAATGAATGAGTCCTAACATCCTCTGCTCTCTCTCCATGTGAAGCACCACGCTCAGCTACTGCCACCGCAGGAGGTAAAATACTGATACTGTGATGCTACTGTGATACTACTACTGTGATCCTGCTACTAAATACCGCTTGCTGATGCTTTTTGGGAACATTCTTGGTTGTAAAAAAGCTTTTTACATTCTGCGTGGTTGTCTTTGTGCTTCTTAAAATATTGAATGGTGGTGGTGAAACAATAACTCAAATGTTCTATTCTTATAATAGCAGTAATACCACAGTGTATAAATGATCTGTAGTAGTTAAGTAAAAATCCAGCATTCAAAATCTTAGTGAACTAAAGGAATGAGTATACTTAAAGTACAACAAGTTCAATTCTGAGCCACTTTTCTGGTTTGTTCAACATTTCTTTTGATTGATTATAAATATTGTTTAACCAAGTTTTAATTTATTATTTGACTGACACCAGCTCAATCTGCTTTTCTGTTTCATTTAAAAATGAACTGAATATTAAAGGTTTTGGAGTTCATTTGTTTATCACTTTAACGTTTCAGCTGATAAAGTCAGAGCTCATTTTAATAACTATAAGTACTGCTTCCTCTATAATAATATATCGCTTGATTAAAATTATAGTGAGGAAGACATTCAAAATAATAAGAAATGTACTTTTGTGTGTTTGTGTGATCATCAGGTGGTGGAGACCAGCAATACGGCTCCCTCCTACGCTGTGAGGCCTCCTCCTCCTCCTCTGTAAGCACACAAAATAAGCTTTTTTTAAAGAAAGTACTTGTTGAAAGGTACTTTTTAACCGATTTCAATCAGAAACTTCCAACGTAAGTGTGCAGGCTCATTATAACCCATAATTGCTAACCCATTAATTTTTAGAAATACGTCAGTTAACACCCCGCTCATGTCTGAAGCTTCTATGTGTGTCTAAGGAAACAGCGGTTGCCAACAAGAGCCTAAATTTGACCTCTAAACGTCAGCCCACCGAACATTACCCGCCTTTATCTTAGCGGTGGTGATCTGATGTAGTTCCCTTATGGTCTCACGTTAACTTTTACTTCTGGCAATTGCATTTATGCTTAAAAAGTCCTAAATGTTGTGTTAATATGTGGAGAATATCCTGCTGAACCAAACATGCAAGTATCATAAACGTTTGTTGCCAAAATATTTTATTATCTGCAATCGAAAAATCGAAATCCAATGGAAATGTCCCATCACTTTGTTGTCGAGGCACCTCTTGCAAAACAAATGTCAGGGTTGGCCCACAAAAAGACATCATCACTGCACCACCTTTAAGCACCAATCTTTGGTATAACATGTTGTTGAAACATTGTGGTTCTTGTCGCAGTTATTATTGTTCTCTTTTGATTTTTTCAATTTGCTCTCCCAGAAAACCCAAACCTTCTGCTGCATCTCAGCCTCTGGTGCCTCAAAGACCCGCCCCAGCTCCACCTGTGTAACCAATCAAGGGGCCCTGCCAACCACACCTAGATGAACCCCCTCTTGTACTCAAAGCTGGTCACTGAGCAGCCAGGGAAATAATCTGGAGCCAAGTTTGAGGACAGCCGGCTCCAGACAACAAACTGAACCTGAAACTGGAACATACCAGAATGGAACTGATGCAGCCACTGTTCTCAACGGACTGTCCTTCCTTATTTCTTTCTCTCCCTTTCCTTATTTCTTGAAGTCTGGAGACAAAACTCAGCCAATCAGGTGACACATTGTCTGTCACCAAACCAGCCAATCATATCCCAAGAACAGCTACCTGTGATATCAACAAATCAATTACTAGAAATTCTTATTATTACCCAATATAAACTGTATTAATCCCCATCCATATTGTGTATTCCTGCTGTAGAGTGCTGTAGAAATGAGTCCTACATTTGTGAAATGAGTTTTTGAACTTCCGCTTCTCTCGTCTAGGTTTTTTGAAATGGTTTTGGTTAGCTGCCTGAGATAAGGTCTTTGGTTAACACAAGTCAGAACATACCCCTCCATTCACACCAAGCACTGTGCTGCTTTTAAGTTAGTGGTGGTGTTCTGAAGTCATGCAATCATTGTGTGCTTAGTTTATAGCCTTTTTTACTTCTTTTAATTGCATTACCATAACAAAAAATGTTTTAAGATCAAATATGCTATAGAACTTAATTTCTGCAAAACATCATAATCATAGTGAAGTTGAAAAAACCCAATTACCATTTTGTCAAAAGTAAGCAGCAAACTTGGATTGGCCTACAATAATAGTTCCTTCTATAAAACAAGATCTGCATACAGTGCCCCTCAGACTTGCTTCCAATTTGTCCTAATGGCCACTCAATAATGCAGCCAGCTGTCTGTAAAACTGTGGACAGGACACCTCGAATGGATGTTTTTTATATAAAAAATTTGTGTAAAACTTATAAAAAATACATTGTATTGTAATTACTAGCAGTCAATGGCTCCTCTGCCAGCAGCACGGGGCCTACGCTAGCAGGCTTAGAGGTTAGGAGCAAGTGCTAAGTAGCAACAATGTTTCCCCAATTTCATGTTACTTGCTAGCAATATAAAAGATTTATGGTATATTTAGCAAGCCCGTTTAATAACTAATGTTAAGTAGCTACCAGTACTAGCAAGCTCTCACACTCTGGAGCTAATGCTACCGGTAGCTTCCCTGGATTTAGTCCTTATTATCGAACATATTGCCAGATTTACCATCCAAAGGAATATTTAAACAATGGGTCCTTGATTTCAGACAGGAGCATGTTCTCTTTTTAAAGCGACAATTTTGCAGCTGTCTAGCTCGTAGCTAGCTTATTAACATTATCCCCATAATTATATATTTACTTTCTGCCATTTCAACAAGTGCACAAATGCTGTGTGAAACGTAACCACTATAAAGCAACCTCAGTGGGGGAGGAAACCGCTCATATTTTTATGTTTTTTATTTGTTTAATTGTTTCTTTTAATTGAACAATTGATTCCACTTACTGAGACATGCTTCACTCTGATTGGCTGGTTTAAAGATGCAGAGCTCACTGGAATTTGAGCTTACTCTCCTTTCTTTCTGTTTTCTGTCTTTGAATGGAAGCACTGATTCTTGCACTGCATTGAGTCTGATTGCACTTCCTGCTCAAACACTGTCATAGGAATTTTACGCCCCCCTGCTGCTCTGTGTGGATGCACTTGGTCTCCACCACCTTGCCTGGCACTCTGTCTCTCCAGAATTGTAAAAATCCCATTATGCAACATCTTCTGGGGGCAGAGCTCGTCCGGGTTTGACTTCCTCTGATGTGGATCTGGGTCTGTGTAGTACTTGGATATCTGTGACTTTCTGCAGGTAATGTACGCTCGCTCACCAAGTTTAGTTGAATCATAAAGCAAATCTCCTCATGAAGACCTCAACACTGTTGAATCTGATATCTGTGATGTTCTTTATCTACACTATAGAGGATTTGTTTACTTGAATAGATTCAAAGCGAAACTGACCCATGCATCTAGTCTTCCAGCAGCACACACAACATCTAGGTGTGTTATAGAGGCATTCATTGTGAATTAGCTCAACAACGTAAACACACATTATGCTATTAGATGCCAACAGCGATAAAACATACTTGTGTCTCATGGAGGCGCTGTATTAGTATAAAATTATAGGTTTACTCAATAGTCTTAGAACACACTTTGACTTTCTATACTCACTTCAACAATAAACCATAGTAAGGACTCATGGTAAGATATAGTTCATGCAATAAGTCATTGTTGGTGTTAAGTAAAGGCAAGTACAAAAAGAATGCATGCTTCCTCATAATGTGTCTTTGTTAGTAGTAAAGCATTTCCATTTCAAAGAATAGATGCTGCATTAAGATGACCCTTTATTAATCCCCAGGGGGAATTCACTTTTCCACTCTGTTATTGTATACACACACATTTGAAATACACACATGCATAGCACCTATAGAGATTAGGTCTGAATACAGATGCACAAAGACTGTACTGTTTGATCTAATCAGGACTTGAACCGGCATTCCTTCAGCTCCTAAACCAAGTCCATACACACTGAGATACTGCCGCCCAGAAATTGGTGTTGTCGGCAGGATTCAAACTTGCAAAGGGACACCCCAATGGATTTCTAGTGCATCGCTTTCACCACTCGTCCACAGCAACACTATTAGTGACACCAAAATGCATACAATCAAAAGGAAACGTGTCTGCGGTTGGAAAGGAAACGTGTCTGCGGTTGGAATGCAATCTAACAATAATGTCTGGTATTAATTCATAAAGGCATGAGCATCACAGATGAAAGATTACAGTGTTGAGGTGTGTAAAGGTGGAACCGATCTCACAGCTCACCACTGAAACACCTGTGATAAAGTCCTGAAAGAGTCCTGAAAGAGTCCAGATGTCCTGTCCCCGCCGTCTTTAACACCAACGTCACCTGAATGTGAGAAACAGAACGGAACACAGTCTGACTCCTGACTGCAGACTGAACATTTAAAAACATTCAGGACCTTTGAGTTTGTCTGGTTGTGTGAACGCTGCGCGGCCTGCATCACAGCCACTCAACGCCGGAGGGTTCATTCCTTTCATTCAAACCAGGGATTGATACACCAACAGGTTACCAAATGTCTGACTGGCTAACACTTTTAGCCAGCAAATGAACCTAGATGCACTGTGTGAGGAGAACATCACGTTAATATCCGCTTTAGTATACTTTAGTTTGCTGTCGTGTGTTTTTTTGCACAGAAATTGTTGTGAACAAGAGTAAAAGTATAGGGCTAATACTGTGCCATTTCAAAGTGTTCATGCCAAACAATAAATAAATATATATGATCTAGGGCTGCCACTAAAGATCATTTTAATTATCGTTTGATCTGAAGATAATTTTTATTGATAAATCGATTCATTGTTTGGTGTGTTATATACCCGAAATACTGAAAAATATTCATTACAGTTTCTTTAAGTCCAAGAACTCTTTTAATGTCTTTTTGTGAGTCCAAACCCCACACATTTTCAGTTTTATATGTAATAAAACCAAGAAAAGCCATACATTGATTATCAAAAAGTTTGGCACTTGTTTTTCTAGTTGTCTAATTGAGGCATCAGTTTTTCTGCCAGAAAAGAATTCCTTAGGAATGAGAAAAGTCTTATTGTTACATTACATGTTACATGTTAGACACTTTTATCCAAAGCGACTTACATACTCAGTACTCTGGACAATCCCCACAGGAGCAATTTGGGGTGAAGTGTCTCAGGGACACAACGACATGCTGACTGCAGTGGGACTCGAACCTGCTACCCCCTAATTCGAAGTCCAGCACACTATCCACTGAGCCACAACCTCCCTTATGGACAAACTGTTCGGTCTGGAGTTATTTAGAGACATTAGAGCAGCTGAGGTTAAAGCTCACAAGAGCATCAAGTTACCGTCAGCAAACTGCTGACTGCTCATTGGTCACTCTAAAGGTGAAACGGTTCTACATGTTTGTTAAAATCAACATATTTGGTGTTCAGACTCAAACCGAAAGTGAATGTATTTCCTTAGTATTGTGAGTAAAGCCTCATTCTCTTACTGCTTTGTGCCAAAGATCCCCATTGTTGTAAAAAACAACTATTAAGTCATCAGTTTTGCTCACTATTACATTAATGTATATCTGGTGTATAAATCCACCACGAAAAGTAGTCCAGACCAAATGTATTATTTCAACCCTTGATGTGTAATTACAATATTTAATTAAATTACTATGAATTAGTTTGTAGCCTTTATTTAACCAGGTGAAATCCCATTGAGATCAACGATCTCTTTTTCAAGGGAGACCGGCAGCACGTTGGTTACACATGAAAACAACAGAAAACCTCATACAACATAATTACAGGGGTACAAATTACAACCTATTCACAATGACAGGTACCAAGAGTATCAAATAACATTTCATCTATCCGAGTTTTAAAATGATGCAGGGGAACCAAAATGCTCAGTTCAAAAAATAAATGCATAGTGTTCCAAGCTAGAGGAGCAGCGAAGATAAAAGCTATAGTACCTAAAACAGTCCTAGCACTTGGCACATGTAATAAAAACACATCATGTGGTCTCAGGCAATAGCTACCTGCAACTCTCCGTGTGATCAGAGAGCAGATATAAGATGGTAGTTTACCCAACATGGCTTTATAGATGAACATGTACCAATGACTGAGCTTCCCTACAGTAAGTGATGGCAGACTTGCCTTGGCATACAGGGTACAGTGATGAGTAAGTGCTTTACAGTTAGTAACAAATCTCAGCGCACTGTGATAGGCGGCATCTAACTTGATCAGGCAATGGGCAGGTGCATTCATATAGATCAGGGGCCGTATT